TTTTTTTCCTTTTTCTCCCCAAAGCCCCCCGGTACACAGTTGTATATTCTTCGTTGTGGGTCCTTCTAGTTGTGGCATGTGGGACGCTGCCTCAGCGTGGTTTGATGAGCAGTACCATGTCCGGCCCAGGATTCGAACCAACGAAACACTGGGCCGCCTGCAGCGGAGCGTGCAAACTTAACTGCTCGGCCACAGGGCCAGCCCCCATCAGATTCATTTTTGAATCCACCAAAACACTTACTATCATGCCCTGTACTGTTGACTTAATTTTATTATGGTTTTCAATTTACTACCTATTGTTTTGTTTGTTTTTTTTAAAGACTGGCACCTAAGCTAACAACTGTTGCCAATCTTTTTTTTTCTGCTTTTTCTCCCCAAATCCCCCCAGTACATAGTTGTATATTTTAGTTGTGGGTCCTTCTAGTTGTGGCATGTGGGATGCCATTTCAACACGGCCTAATGAATGGTGCCATGTCTGCACCAAGGATCCAAACCTGCGAAATCCTGGGCTGCCGAAGCGCAGCGTGCTAACTTAACCACTCAGCCACAGGGCCGGTCCCCAATTTACTACTTATTGTTGAATTTGTGTCTTTTAAAGAGTAAACTCAAAACTTGTTTTCTGATGACTCAAAGTCACAATGAACAAACAAGTAACTCTGTCTTCAAATTCATATGGCAAGGTATCTGCCCTTTCATCTCTAGTCTTCCCTAACTGCCTTATTTTAGCCCAAACTGTTTGGACATGGACCTAAATGTGGTCGGTTCCATGTGCTTTTAAGATGGTTTTGTAACAGATATTTTTCCTTGCTATTAATTATTTTCCTGTTATGCCAGACTTCACTGCTGCGCTCTCAGTAATTCAATTTGTCAGAAGTGTACTCTCCAGATAAATGGGGTATTTGGATGTTTTCATTAAGACTAGAGAAAACAAATGCATAAAGTGGACAACTAAAGAAAAGGACAACACCAGTAATAATATGAAGAAAGATAAATTATAAAATGATAAAGGGCCTAAGTATTCCTAACAGTTAATAAGCATAATCTGTCTAAGGAATATCTATTCAACTAAATATTCCTTAAAGTTGAATCTGAGTCTTAAATTAGTGTCTAGAGGTCAAAGTTCCTCTATAGTTCAGTTAGGAGATCATAACAAAGTCTTTTTTAGGATAGAAATGGTAATGTGCTAGGGACAGAAATTACGACATGAGTGAAGTACTAGAAAGGTAGGGGGAGATGAGAATTTGATAAAAAAAATTTTAAAAAGAGGGGCCGGCCTGGTGGCACAGCGGTTAAGTTCGCATGTTCTGCTCTGGTGGTCTGGGGTTTGCCAGTTCCGATCCCAGGAGCAGACATGACACTGCTTGGCAAGCCATGCTGTGGTAGGCATCCCACATATAAAGTAAAGGAAGACGGGCATGAATATTAGCTCAGGGCCTGTCTTCCTCAGCAAAAAACAGGAGGATTGGCAGCAGTTAGCTCAAGGCTAATCTTCCTTAAAAAAAAAAAATTTTCTTTTAAAGAAAAATTAAGGAATAATGTTAACAAATCAAATTCAGTTGAAAATCCACAACTTTAGGGGAAAGTCTGGAAACTCATGTCCTTAAATATGTTCCTCACTTCATTGGTCTACTTCAAACCATTTTTGGATAAAAATTTAAAGTGTACAAACCAAAAAGTCTCTCAACTATTATCTGATGCATAAGTTAATTCAAAATGTGTTTCTTGCAAAGAGAAAGACCAACACTGTATGACTCCACTCATATGTGGAAGATAAACACACACACAGACAAAGAGAACTATTTAGTGGTTTCTGGGGGAAGGGGGTGGTGGGTGGGCACAAAGGGTGAAGGGACGCACTTACAACAACAAAAAAACTTGGTTCTTGCAAAGTGCCTCAGGAACTGCTGTGGGGATGACAGGAGAGAGAAAAGGGGACAAGGCAAGCAGTCTCGGCACTAACGTCTATACTGCTGTTTTAGCTAGAGCAATTCCATTTTTACTGGCTTTACACACCGGACTTCCGAATATGATTTTGTTGGAAGGGTTCCACTGCTAAAAACACAAATCTAAAATCACTGATTTAGATCAGAAAGATTAACAGGTTATTCATCATAATTGTGAAAGCTGCGAAACTGTATCAGATGGCTACTTTGTAGCCATTAATTGCTAGAGGAACAGAATGGTGAAATGTTAGTCTGGGAATTAGGAGGCTAATCCTACCCTGGGCCAGTCATTAACTTCTCTGGATCTTTAAGTACTGAATTTCTAAAATGGAGGGTTCTTTCACTCAATGTCTAAGGTGCTTAACACATTAAGACACTATTGATAGATGGTACAGTCAATACAGTGGCACGCTTACAAAACATGACCTTGTGGAATGCAGTCATACGGTCATTATGATACATGCTACTACTATGACAAACGTGTGACAATGTTTTAAGAAAATGAATAGCAAAAAAGTAAAATATCTTTTCGTAGATAGATAAATAAAATATCACACCAATAAACGATTCCAAGAAACGTGATACACATTCTTCTACAAATTTCTATTCTAGGAATGACAGGACCTGTTGCGATTACTAAAGGTGTTAACCTTGACAAACTCAAAACCTTTCAAACAGAATTAGGAAATAAAATCTTAACCCCACTTGCTAAAATTTACCTTAATCCTAAGAAAATCTTAGAATTTTACCTGAATTTTCTAATTTCCTAATCATTTACTCAATGAAAAGGTAGAAGATTTTCAATATTTTTAATCTAAAATGCTGTTCCCTAATGACAATCATTCTGCTGACACTATATCACTTGAACAGTTTTAACTTTTTGTGGTGTGAACAGGTTTTCCTTGTTCTGTAAGTAACACTTACAGCTAGTCCAGACAAATTTATGTCTCTCTCCAATAATCATAATCAAGGCATTCCTGCTATCTGGAGAACATCTCAATGTTACAATGAAAAGTCAATAAGCAGTTCCACAAGGACAAGGGAGTCTCATTTCTCACACCGTGAACTTTACACTAGACTAAAAATTACAGAAACCTGAAAGTTTTGTCAAGCTACAAAAGGTTAAAACAGATGGTTTTTCATTAATGATAAACAGCTGACAAAAATTTTGAGCTTGGTGCTTATATGGTTATGTTTTCCAAAATGAAAATTTTAAAGGACTACATTAGACAGCACAAGTTACAAATTTTTCCCTTTTTGTCAAAATGCAGTTTTGACTTACCCCTCCCAGATCCTTTATGTCCTTTTGCAGTTTTTCAGATATGGTGACAGAAGGTAAATCAATGTAAAATACTTTTCCCCAAAGTGGCTTATATTTGGATTTTTCTGGTTTGTTATCAGTTTTCAGAGATTTCAATGATGGTCTGTTTTTTTCATTTTTGACTTGAATTCCACCTGTTGTTTAAAACATTTAGAATTAGATGTTTTATGCAGACAGAAAATTTTTGCTGTCTTAAAAACCCAATAGTTGAATCTGCAGGAAACAGTCATGCTATTATTCATGTTTTATGCATTAAGGCAAGGAACTATATAAAATCTTTCTATATAAAATTTTTTCGAAAGATTTTCCTCCTTAGAATGCAAACTCCAAGGGGTATTTACTCAATAAATTTATTTATGGAGTATCTGCCATTCTGCTGAACTCTCAAAACTGGTGCTCAGGATGTTAAACACTTCGCAAAGCAAGAAACCTCTGTTACCCAGAATGACCTAGTCCTCAGAGGTTTAATTTCATATCGAATTTGTCTACGTGTTAAAAAGAACTAAATGGCCCTTCTGAAGAACCAAATCACCTTTCATTTCATTATTTCCCTTGAAAACAGATCTGAAATCCAACCGCTTTAAAAATTAACTTTTAAAACACGACCTGTTCACAAGTTTGAGGTTATTATATACACATACATATGTACCATATGTAAATAATATACATATTTTAAAAAAAACTTCAAGGCTGGAACGTTTTACCAAATAAAGCGATTGAAAATGGAAGTTTGCTTTTGTTTCTGTTTGTCTATAATGTTGAAAACAGCAATGGTATGTTTGCTATACAAATACTTTCCCTCAACTTTATGAGTGAAGGAAAATAAACGTAAGAGCAAGACCAAAATCCACTCACAATCACCCAAATGAATCAGGAAGCAAAAAGGCACGAGCACATCTGCTTTTAAACTGAGGCTCGAGCTGCAGCTTCAAAGGGCCTGAGCGGAGTCGCAGCATCTGTGGGAGCCCCGGCGGGCGCCCGGGGCCGCACACTGTTTTCTAGTTTTACAACCGACGGCACCACCTGGAACTGGGGGCCGCGGCTGGAGGTTGAAGGGCGCGAGGGGCCCGGCCGGGATCCGTTGCCGTGCTGAGGCGGAACCCGGAACGGAACCTTCCTTCAGGCCACAGAGAAGGACGCACAAGGCGGAAAAGAAAAGCAGCAGAGACCCGAAAGGAGAACTCTGAAGACTCAATGGTGGAACCATGAGGGGAGGAAGCATTAAAGAGACTGCAGGCGGAGGAGGGGCTTCATACCCTGGAAATGTCCTTTGCTGTGGATCCTCATGGCTCCGGAGTTCATAGCAGCCGCCCGGCACCTACATGCTGGGTCCAGTGAGGGTGTCGCGTCCGGCAGTCGCGAAAACACTGTTCCTCTCCGACTACCACACCCACGCAGGAGAGATGCCGCGACTGCCGGCCGGGTTTCCGGGGCCAGATCCGGCTTCACGGCGCGGAGGAGGAACGGGTAACGCACAGAGTGGGCTGCGGCGGTTGAAGATTTGAAAACGCGTCACGCGACCGCGGCGCCGATACGCGCGCCCCGCCCCCTCTCACGCCGCGCGCCGCGCCCCGCCTCGCGCTCGCCTCCACGTGCCCGCCTCCTCGCGCCCGCCTCCTCGCGCCGTGCGCCCAGCCCCCCAGTGCCCGCCCCCTCGCGCTGCGTCCTGTCGTTCACGCCCCGCCTCCTCGCGCCGCGAGCCCCGCCCCCAGGGGCCGTGTCTCCGGCCCCGCCCCGCCCCCATTGCGATGCCCTCCCTTCCTCAAATCCGCGTTTCCAGCCCGCCGCTTCTCGTCTCTTTGCTGCCTGAATAGCTGCCGTGGCTCCGTGTTGAGCAGAGCAGAGGTGGTGGTTGCAGATAGTGCTGGAGGCCGGCCTCGCCGTCCGCTAGGGTCGTTCCCGCCTTCTAGGGTTGCCAGGACCGCCTGTCCTCCAGCCGCCTCCTCCACCAGGTACGCTTGTTTCCTGTGGGTTAGCTGTCTCTGAAGCTGGAGGCGCGGCGGCTGCGGTCGAACGAGACTCAGCTTCCGGCCCGGCCGGGAGGCGGCGACAGTCCCTGCTCAGCGCGCCCCAAGTCGCATAGGGTGGTTTTCCCACGATATCCGCCACCCCTTACCCCTGGAGACGGGCCGCAGAGAGTAGCCTGGGGGGCGTCGGAGCCAGGGTAGGGCCAGGCCAGGCCTAGAGTCACGTTCAGGTCGCCTTGTGTCCTTTGATACTTGACTGTGCGCTGACCTCTTGTGCACAGATCTGTTTTCATTTTATTGTATGCAAGTTTCTTTCAACAATAATAGAGTGGAATTTGAAATCTCAAGTCTAGGGTTTTGGGTCTGAACTGGCCCCTTACCAGCTTGCAAGACTTTGGTTAAGTTACCTAACTCCTTTGAATAGCAGTTTTTTCATCTGTAAAATGGAGATAATAATGGGATTATAGTACAGATTAAATTAAAATATTTTGTAAAGTAAATTAATTTTGTTTTGTAAGTGGGAAAGCGCTTCACAAAAATAGTGAATTTGGGGGGCCGGCCCCGAGGCGCAGCGGTTAAGTTCGCACGTTCCGCTTCTCGGCGGCCCGGGGTTCGCTGGTTCGTATCCCGGGTGCGGACATGGCACTGCTTGGCAGCCATGCTGTGGTAGGCGTCCCACGTATAAACTAGAGGAAGATGGGCATGGATGTTAGCTCAGAGCCAGGCTTCCTCAGCAAAAAGAGGAGGACTGGCAGTAGTTAGCTGAGGGCTAATCTTCCTCAAAAAAAAAAAACAAAAAAGAAAAAAAAATAGTGATTTTGGTATGTTTCTGCTTGTAAACCTGTAAGGAGGCAGAGGATTAAATCTTGTACTACTTGGCATTCCTTAACTCCTGGCCGTAATAGTCACTCGTTTAATGGTTGATTTTTGACCTACTAGCTCAGGGAAGTTAGTGCTGCCAATATCACCGTTTCACAAATAGGTACCTTAGAGCATAGACAAGGGAGAATTCCAATACTGTTAGCCGAAATGGAAAACACAAAGAGATGATTCAGGTTTGCTAAGGGAAATGAGAATTTTGTTGTGGACGGCTTTAGGTTGAAGGGCCTGGGGAGGTAATCATGAAGCTGTGTTTATTAGACTCTTGGTAATATTTGTCTGTAACTCAGGAGAGATGTCTAGGAGAGAGGGAGGGTGAAGAGAGGGACGATTGATTCGAGAGACATCATCCAGAGGGATCACTTATTCTCAGTCATGGGATGATGCATAAGAGGTTTTCAAATCTTGAGAGGCAGGAGGAGGTGTAGTTTGAACAAACATATTCAACATTAGAATTTCTATTTGGGAGAAAACCTATTCTCAAAATGTAAACTACAGAAAGAGCACAAGATTTTTATGTTTATTAAAAGCTTTATAAGATTTGAGAGACACCAATATAGAATATAAAGTCATGAGAGGAAATGAAATTACCCAGGAGAGTGTCTGAAATAAAAGTAATGATGAGCAGAGGTTGTTGAAATAGTGAAAAATGGAGAAAAGGCCACAATGTTAGGAAGAGAACCGGGAACAAAACTTATCATCAAAAGCCACAGAATTGCAAACATTGAGATCAGGCAGGCTTTACTAACTATATGGCTTTGGGTAATTTTGAGCCTCAATTTAATCTGTTAAAAGGGGATGATAAATACTTCTCAGAGGTGAGGCTTAAATGAAACATTTTTGAAAGCTTAATTAGTACAGTGCCTGGCACAAAGTGAGAGCTCAGTAAGTGCTATCATTCTGGTGAACTCTGCACCAACCTCTCCATCCTTAAGAGTTCAAAAAGGCTAAGAGTTGAAAAATCGGCCTTTAATTCTCGTGTTTAAGATGTCATTGGTTTCCTCAGTGAAAATTTCACTAGACGGCTAAAGTAAGTCAGTGCTACATAAAAACGATGAATTTGAAGTGGAGGCAGGTTGAGTGCAAAAAATTAGTGTAGAGAATTTGTGTAAAAGGAAGGGAAGATAGGGTCTTTGGAAGGTTTAGGGGATATGGGAAAATTTTAAACGTTTCTATTGAAGAAAATAAGAAAAATGGAAGCTCATTTTATGTTCTAGTGAAAAATAAGTTACCTTTCTTATTTACTGTAACGAGGAAGGACAGTAACATAGTTGCACCCTGTGCTTTTAGACACACCCTTGACTGCACTGTAGGTGATAATGCCAAGCTGTGAATAAGCAGAAAGTCTGTTTTACTGGACAGTGTTAATAATTTTCTAATCTCTAACCCAAGGTTAATTTAAAAAAATATTATTGCTGGAACTCAGATCTTTTAGTAGCTACAGGAAGAAGGACTTGGTCATATATCTATGGCCTATAGCTATAGAAACCATGATACATAATCATGTCAATAATCAGGGCTATTGGTAAGAGAATAAGGTTTACACTAAAGTATACCTTGAAATGTGCTTCAGGCGAAGGGTATACATTGAAGACGAAATGAATGGGGGCAGGGTTATTTGTGGTGAGAGGTTTGATTGAACAAAACAACTTAAGCAAATTTGGAGAACCTTGAGCAGAATCATGGTCTAATTAAAGGAACGTTTGGCTGTGAATGAGGAGAAATGAATTTCATTCCGTACTGGCTCTATTTCTAAGTAGTTTTGTGACCTTGGGCAAATATTAACCTTTCTGTGTGCTACAAATTTATCTGTAAATGAAGATAATATCTGCTCAGTCTACCCCACAACTTTTTATGGTTGTCAAATGAGGCCTTGTCTTTTTCAGACTACCGCACATATATCCAAATATAAATTCTTCTGTAACACTTAGCACTTTCTTATTTTCTTTCTTTTGCTTAGGCCTCTTCACCTGGCTGGCAATTTTTCCTCTTTCCTATTCATAGCAAGCCTGCCTTAATACAACCTTTATCTCCTACTCATTTGGGGCCTTCAATAATAGTCCTGTTTGATTCATTTACCTACTATTGATGTATTATCTTCTGAAATGTGTTCTGTTGCTATTTGTATTATTTAATTTTCGTATTTTAGAGTCTTGCTACCCTGGTGAATTGGAGGTCCTAAGGTTTTTCTGAGGTTAACTTCTTAGTTTTGCAGGCTAAGCATATGAAAAGATAGAGTTGCTTAGAAGCTGTGGCACTGAAGTCCATGTCTCAGGTGAGGGTGGGCTGGGAAACCAGGGCAAATTCAGCATATCAAGTCCTTGAACACAACATAGTGAAGGGTCAAAAATGGAGACTAAGTAGACAAGAGGATTCAAAATTTGAGAGTGTATCCCTCTGAGACAACATCATTCAGAGGCTACTGCCACCCATAGGAGCTGTTATGGATAATGAACTGGTTCAGAGGTTATGTATTATATTCTGAACTAGGTTGTGAGTTCCTTTAGGGTAGTCCAGAATACATATTTGGCCATGACTGTGAAACAATCTACCTATCTATCCCACTTCCTTCTTTCCGTCTCTATTGATTGAGCACCTACAGTGTGCCATGTCCAGTGAGATTGGTTTGCCATGAGACCTTGTAGAAGTCTAATCATGTAAATTTAAAAATTTTCTAATACTCTTAATAATCCACATGTAATAAAGTGCACCCATTTTAAGCATACAGATTGATGAGTTCTAACAAATATGTATATCCGTGTAATTACCCATGTCCGGTATTTTCACTGTAAGCATCTTTGCTGTAGACATCTTTATTGCGGGCATTTTTGCCGCAAACATTTTTACCACATAACTAATTGGCTGTAAGGCAATTTTGCCATAGAAGATAAATAACTGGTTGACCGTTTGGTTTGACAGTTTGGTTTCAACTAGAAGATACGATGATAAAATGTACTGAAAGTGTAAATAAGAGAGTGTGAAGCTAGACTGCATGCTATACTAGAAAATAATATGGGTTTGCAAATCCTTCCATGAGCACAGTCATCCATCCCACCTGTCAAAACCAAAAGTTTACCAAATTGTGGCAAATATAAAAGAGGTGGCTAGTCATTCTCAACAATCTTAAGAGCATTAATTATCGATTCTTTAGCTAATTTAGATACAACAGGTTGTTCTCTAATGCCATCTTTACCAAATTCATCACGCAATACTAGAAGTTGGAGGCAAAAAAAGAATCAAGCTCCTTCTCCTGTCCCCCCAAAAGTAATGGTTACGCGATTCCAGATGAGTATAAGTTTCTTGAAAATTTTTTGCTGTTTGATAATGGAGAGCATGATGTAGACAGAATTTTGGTATTTTGGCACAGAGTCTGGCTTAGATGATTTGGTGAAATCTAAGGACTGGGCGTGTGATGGAACATTTAAATGTAGTCCAGATATGTACTACATGTTTCATTATGTCTTTTTTAATGTCCCTCTTTTATTTTTCATTATTTTATGTTTTATGGCAAAATTGCTTTATGGGCAGTTAGTTATACGGCAGAAATGCTTGTGGCAGAGACATCTACAGCAAAGATGCTTATGGTGAGTGTACCCAGAACCGTGATTACCACCCCAATCAAAATATAGAACGTTTCTCTCATCTCAGAAGGTTATTTTATTCCTTGTTCCTATCTCCCTTCTCTCTCCCACCATAGGTAACCACTCTTCTGATTTCTATTATCATAAACAATTTTTTTCTGTATTTCAGCTTCATATAAATGGAATCATATACTTTATATGTTTTGGGTCTGAATTATTTTGCATAACATAATATTTTTATGTTTAATCCATGTTGCAACATGTATCAGTTGTTCATTCCTTTTTATTGCCAAGTAGTATTTCATTGTGTGAGTATGCCACAGTTTATCCATTCACCTGTTGATGGATATTTGGGTCGTTTCTAGTTTTTGGCTTTTATGAATAATGCTACTATGAACATTTGTAACAGGTGTTTTTGTGGACATATGTTTTTTCTTGGAATTAATGGATCATATGTTTAGTGAGTGTTTAACATTCAGAAATTGCTAGTTTTCAACTCTCCCCTCGAGCAATATATGAGAGTCCCAGTTGTTACACATACTGTCACTGAGTGTGAACTGGTATCTCGTGTAGTTTTTTAAAAAATTGAGAAGAAATTCACATAACATAAAATTCACCATTTTAACCATTTTGAAGTGTATAATTCAGTGACTTCTAGTGTATTCACAATTCACAGTGCAACAATCACCACTAATTCCAGAGCATCTTCAACACCGCAAAACGAAACCCAACACCCATTAAGCAGTCATTCACCATTCCCCGTTCTCTTCAACCCCTGGCAACCACTAATCTGCTTTCTGTCCCTCTAGATTTGCCAATTATAGACATTTCATATAAATGGAATCATAAACTATGTGTTCTTTTGTGCCTGGCTTCTTTCATTTAGTGTGTTTTCAAGGGTTGTCCATGTTGTAGCATACATCAGTACTTCTTTCTTTTTTCTATGGCTGAATAAAATTCCCATGTAGGGATACACCACATTTTGTTTGTCCAATCATCAATTGAACATTTGGGTTTTTTCCACTTTCGGCTGTTGTGAATAGTAATGCTCTTAACAATTGTTTACAAATTTTTGGTAGACTGTGTGTTTTTAATTCTCTTGGGTATATACCTTGGAATGGAGTTGCTGAATAATATGATAATTCTATGTTTAATATTTTGAGGAACTGCCAAACTGTTTTTCACAGTGGCCGCGTCATTTTACATTCATACCAGCAGTGTAAAAAGTTTCCCATTTCTCCACATTCTCATCAACACTTCTTTCCTTTTTTTTAAATTATAGCCTTCCTACTGGGTATGAAGTGGTGTTTCCTTGTGGTTTTGATTTGCATTTCCCTAATAATGAGTAATGTAGAGCATCTTTTCATGTGCTTATTGGCCGTTAGTATATTTTCTCTGAATAAATGTCTATTCAGGTCTTTTGCCCTTTTTTTTTTTTTTTCGCCCTTAGGAAGATTAGCCCTTAGCTAACATCTGCTGCCAATCCTCCTCTTTTTTGCTGAGGAAGCCTGGCCCTGAGCTAACATCGTGCCCATCTTCCTCTTCTTTATATGTGGGACGCCTGCCACAGCATGGCTTGCCAATCGGTGTCATGTCCGCACCTGGGATCCGAACTGGTGAACCCTGGACCGCCAAAGCAGAACGTATGAACTTAACTGCTGCGCCACAGGGCTGGCCCCTTTTGCCTATTTTTTAATTGGGCTTTTGTCTTTTTGTTGTTAAGTTGTAAGTATTCTTTAAGTATTTTGTATATCAGATTCTTAACAAATATATAATTTGCAAAAATTTTCTCCAATTCCATGGCTTGTCTTTTCACTTTTTTGATAATCCTTTGATACACAAAAGTTTTAAATTTTGATAAAGTCCAATTTTATTTATGTTTATCTTTTATCTCTTTTACTTGTGGTGTCATATTTAGAACCCTATTGCCAAATGGAAGGTCATTTAATTTTATTCCATATTATCTTTGAAGAGTTTTATAGTTTTAGCACTTACACTTAGATCTTTGACCCATTGTGAGTTAATTTGTGTACATGGTGTGAGCTGAGGGTCCAGCTTCATTCTTTTGCATATGCATATCCATTTGTCTCAATACCATTTGTTGAAAAGACTGTTCTTTCATCATCGAATGGTCTTTGCAACCTTGTTAAAATTTAGTCGACTGTAGATGTATGGGGTTGTTTCAGGACTATCAATTCTATTCCGTGATCTGTATGTTTATCCTTATGCCATTACTACACTGTTTTAATTACTAAAGCCTTTTAGTAAATTTTGAAATTGGGAAGTGTGAATCCTCCAATTTTCTTCTCCTTTTTCAAGATTGTTTTGGTTATTCAGGATCCCTTGAAATTTCATATGAGTTTTAGCATCAGCTTGTCCATTTTTGCAAAAAGGCAGTGGGAATTAGTAGTGATTGTATTGAATTTGTAGAATGCAGGCATGTGCTGCATAGCATGTACAATGGTGTTCCTGTAAGATTAGTACCATTTAGCCTAGGTGTGTAGTAGGCTATACCATCTAAATTTGTGTAAGTACACTCTTGATGTTTGTACAATGACAAAATCACCTAACAACATGCGTTTCTCAGAATGTATCCTGATTGTTAAGCTACGGATGACTGTATAACATCTAAGTGTGGATCTTTTTGGCTTTATCCCACCAGGAATTCATTGAGCTTGTTGGATGTGTAGATTCGTTTCTTTTATCAAAGTTAGGAAGTTTTTGGCCATTATTCTTTTTCTTTCTCTCCTCTTCTCTCCTTCTGGGACTCCCATTATGTGTGTGTTGCTATGCTTGATAATATCCACAGGTTTCCTAGGCTCTGTGCATTTTTCTTCATTCTTTTTCTTTCTGTTCCTCAGATTGAGTGATCTTAATTGGTCTTTCTTCAAGTTTGCTGATTCTTTCTTCTGTCCTCTCAAATATGCTTTTGAGCCCCTCTAGCAAGTTTTTTATTTCAATTTTTATTTTTATATTCTTTCTACTTTTTTTGGTTCTAATTTGCTCTTCTTTTTCTAGTGTCTCTTAGGAGAGGGCCTTGGATCATTGACTTTTAGATCTTTTCTGATATAAGCATATAATGCTGTAAATTTGCTTGTAAGCTCTGCTTTAGGTACATCTCACAATGTTTGGCAATTCTCACCATTTTCTAATTCTATGTAAGTTTTGGGAAGTATTGTGTGAATTCCACAAAACTAAAGAGATTTGGGATTTTGGTTATGATTTCTATGAATCTATAGATCAGTTTGGAAGAATTAATATCTTTATAGCATTTGTTGTTTTGGTCCATGAAATAGTATATTTCTCTGTATTAAAACCTTGAAATCAGTGAAACTTTATATTTTTTTCTACAGGTGTCTTGAGAATCTTTTGTGAGATTTATTGCCAAGTACGTGAAATTCTGCCATGCTACTGTACATACCGTTTATTTTAAATTTCTTTTTCTGTGTTTTCCTGGTATATAGAACTATAGTTTAATTTGGCATGTTGATTTTTATAGCTAGCAACATTGCTAAATTCTTATTAATTCTAATAATTAAGTTATGGGTTTAAATTTCCTGTGTTCACAATTGTGTTGTCTGCAAATAATGATACTTTGTTTACTTAGAAACGATATATATTTTTTGCCTTACCTGGATGGTTAGGACCTCTAATAAAATATTAAATACGAGTAGTGATAATGTACATCCTTATCATGTTCTTGATGTCAAAGGAAAAACTTTCAACACTTCATCATTAAGTCTAAAAATGCCCTTTGATTTCTACTTTGAGCCATGAGATATTTAGAAATGTGTTATTTAGTTGCCCGGCATTTTGGAGAATCCACAGGTTTTTCTGTTATTGTTGTCTAGTTTAACTTCCTTGTTGTCATAGAATGTATTTTGTATGATTTGTGTATATGTGTAATCTTTTTTTTGATATTTTCTTTTTATTTTTTTATTGCAGTAACATTGGTTTATAATGTATATACATTTCAGGTGTACCTCATTATATTTTGATTCCTGTGTAGATTACATCATGTTCACCACCCAAAGACTAATTACAATCCATCACTACACACATGTGCCTAATCACCCCTTTCGACTTCTTCCCTTCCCCCTTCCCCTCTGGTAACCACCAATCCAATCTGTCTCTATGTGATTGTTTATTGTTGTTTTTATCTTCTACTTATGAGTGAGGTAATACAGTATTTGACTTTCTCCCTTTGACTTATTTCACTTAGTGTAACACCTTCAAGGTCCATCCATGTTGTCACAGATGGCCAGATTCCATCATTTCTTTTGACTGAGTAGTATTCCATTGTGTATATCTACCACATCTTCTTTATCAGTTCATCCCTTGAAGGCACTTAGGTTGCTTCCACGTCTTGGCTATTGTGAATAATGCTGATGAACATAGGGGTGCATGTATCTTTACAGATGCATGTTTTCATGTTCTTTGGCTAAATGCCCAACAGTAGAATAGCTGAATTGTATGGTAGTTCTATTCTTAATTTTTTGAGGAATCGCCATACTGTTTTCCATAGAAGCTGTACCAGTACCAGCACTGTATGAGGGTTCCCTTCTCTCGACATCCTCTCCAACAATTGTTGTTTCCAGTCAAGTTAGGTATAGCCATTCTGATGGGAGTAGGGTGATATCTCACTGTAGTTTTGATTTGCATTTCCTGGATAGCTAATGATGTTGAACATCTTTTGATGTGCCTGTTGGCCATCTGTATATCTTCTTTGGAGAAATGTCTGTTCAGATCTTTTCCCCATTTTTTAATTGGGTTACGAGTTTTTCTGTTGTTGAGATGGATGAGTGCTTTGTGTATTTTGGATATTAACCCCTTATCAGATATATGGTTTGTAAATATGTTCTCCCAATTGCTAGATTGTCCTTTTGTTTTGCTGATCGTTTCCTTTGCTGTGCAGAAGCTTTTTAGTTTGATGTAGTCCCATTTGTTTATTTTTTTGTTTCCCTTGCCCAGTCATACATGGTACTTGAAATTATGCTGCTAAG